GACGGCTCCAGCGCCCAGCAGCCCCCTGCACATCCCGTCCTCGCCCCGGCGCTGCCAGCACACGTCACGCCGCTCGCCTGCCCGGTCTGGGCCGGCTGGGGGCACCTGGCCCCAGCGCTCTTTCCTGCCCGGGGCAGGGGGTCGGCCTCGACGGTCTGTTGAGGTCCCTTCCGACCCCAGCATCGATGACTCTATGGAAAGCTTTAAAAGCGGCTCGCTCCGTTTTGGAGGGGGCACACGTTCGGGGGCACAGCAACAAGCAAGCAGCCTCCAGAGCTCGATGGGCCTCTGCATGAGCATGCGAGTAACTTATACACTAAAACCCGGGCAGACGTTGTGCTCCGGGTCCAGGCAGGCGGCAGGCTGGGGTGGGAAGGAAGCCGTGCGGGAGGTAGAGGCCCAGATGGGGCGTGGTACCGGGAGGAGGCAGGAAAAAGATCTTCCAGGCCAGGGCCCAGTGGGTGGGCGAGGGGGAGGAGCGGGCTGCTCGAGTCTCCAGACTAAAGAAGAGCAAGGACAAGCCCACGACACGCCTGCGAGACGGCGCGGGAGCGGAGCACCGGTCGAGGGAAGGCGTGCTGGAAACGGTGACTGCTTTCTACCGAGAACTCGACGCTGCACGGCGGGAGGGCCCGCGGGCCGTGCGGGAGGGCCCGCGGGCCGTGCGGCGGAGCCTGCAGGGGCTCACACGGGCCCCCGGAGAAGCCGAGCAGCACGGAGCACCAGCAGCTGGAGTGAGAGTGGACACCGGAGGGGCCTGAGCAGACCCTCCGGAGGTTCGAAAATGGCAGGCCTCCTGGGGCAGGCGGCCTGGCCAAGGAGTTTTACGTGACCTTTCGGGACCTGGTAGACCTCGAGAGCGAGTGCAGGAGGGGCGCCTGGGGCCGGGATGGACCGGGGCCTCACAGATTCATAGGTTCATCGATGCTGGGGTTGGAAGGGACCTCAACTGATCATCGAGTCCGACCCCCTGCCTGGGCAGACGACCCCAGCCAGGTGCCTGTCCAGCCTCCTCTCGAAGACCCCCAGGTAGAGGAGAGCACCGCCTCCCTTAACAGCCCGTTCCAAGTTTGGCCCGCCCGTACCGAGGAGAAGTTTTCCTTGATATCCAGCATAAATCTGCTCTCTGTCAGTCTCTGACCATTGCTCCTTGTTACCCCACGAGGTGCCCTGGTGAAGACAGCACCTCCGATCCCTCGCTGCGTCCCGCTAATTAATTTGTAGGCGGCCACAAGATCACCTCTCGGCCTTCTCTTGCGGAGGCTGAAGAGGTCCAGGTCCCTCAGTCTCTCCTCGTAGGCCTTCTCCTATAAGCCCCTGACCATACGTGTGGCCTCCTGTGGACCCTCTCGACTACCCACATCCCTCCTTAAGTGCGGCACCCAGAACTGGACGCAGTGCTCCAAGTGCGGTCTGAGCAATGCCGCACAGAGGGAAGTATCGCCTCCTTGGATCTATCTGTCACGCATCTGCTGATGCACGATAAAGTGTGGTTAGCTTTGCTGGTGATTTCGTCACACGGACGACTCGTGTTCGTCCTGGAGTCCACGATGACTCCGAGATCCCTTTCCGCTGCTGTGCTGCTGAGAGGGTCACTTCCCAGCCAGGAGATGTGCTGGACATTTTTGCGCCCTAGGTGCAGCTCTCTGCACGTGTCCTTGTCCTGCATCCTGTGGTGTACTGCCCACTTTTCTCACCTGTCCAGGTCTGCCTGCAATCGTTCCCTGCCCTCCAGAGCGTGCACTTCACCCCACAATTTAATATCATCCACAAACTTGGACAGA